TACGTATGTAACACTGCACTGTGCAGTAACAGAACCTACGCGTTAACGTTATATATACCAAGAAACAAGAAATAATAGAATTTACTTCAGCATTTTATATTAGATAAACTTCAGTCCTCAATCCAATATAAAATGCTTGCACTTATAATGAATGCAATTTTAACGAAACTAACATTTCCGTTAAATTATTTGCAATACATTAATACTGAATACATTATAGATATTTTATTAAAGTTATGAAAGTCTATTTTGTACAGGTATTTCATGTCAGAATACGATAGCATGATGTACACAATAAAACCTGTATTAAGATAACAGCAATAATAAAAAGTAAAATAATAAATTATGTTTGGGCGCGCGCTAGCGTTTGTGTATAATATACCTGCCGAGTGCAAATAATAATAACCATACAGAAACGCGCGTGGCCGTCCTTGGGACATGACGTGATGTAGGTCGCGCGTGGTCCGATGGCAAATATCGCACGCTTGGTCATCCCCCTACCCTATCAACCAATTATTATCAAGCAATTCAATATTTTAATGTTTTTAACCTTTGCAGGAAATAGGTGTGTATGTAATATGTAGTAGGTACACCGTATACACACAATATTTATAATAATATTATATACCTACATTAAATATTAATGTACATTTTTCAAAGCGTTTTAGCTAATTCCAYAGAAATATTTATTTTCGAATAAAATGTATATTAGTGAATTGATATGAATACGCCCGACGTCCTTTTGTATGAGTATATTTTTCTAATCTAAATGCTAATGGTAGGTAGACTAAAAAGTAAAAATGGTTTAAATCGATGAGGTATAAACCCTTATAAATACACTTTAATTTTGTATTTAAGCCATTTAAATTGCAAACTGTAATTTACGTTCTTCGGTACATTTTATGGCTTTATTTCATATATACAACAAAATATTTACAAGCCCGTTTTAGAACTTTTAGAGATCAAATAATATTATATTATCTTTTTTAATTTACTTGTATCGCTCATTCTATATATTATTTTCAAAACAATTGTTGATCACATCAGATATGGTTGTATCATCAAGCATTTTAACATTTAATCTAATATGATTAAATGTTACCATTAAGTACAAGAATTCAACTGAATAAATGAGACAATTTAATATTTAATTCAATAGGAAACCCGTGTAACATTATAATTTATGTTATTCAAGATATTTATGTACCTAATTAGTTTATAGAGAAATTATTATAATATTTAAAATCATATAATTTCGGAAATTAATAATACTTAAAGCAATACAATTATTTTTATTAAATTTACTTAGTTGACAAGTATAAATGTAAAAATAAAGTTTCAAGCTTAAAAGTTTTGTAGTTCCAAATTATTTAATAATAATTTGTTCTAGCTATATTTAATTGATATATTAATAAATTAACTATGAGTTAAAAACTAATGATAAATAAATAATATTTGTTGTCAACCTTTACCTAAATATGAGATTTTTTACCAACTCAAAAATTATYCCTGGTAACAGTCAATTAAAAMACGTATTATTTTCTTATTCTTGAATATTTGCCAAGTTAGAATGTTATTTTTTCAAGGTAAAAATTCAGCAGACAACGCACTGGATATAAAATGTTACTTTTTATCATAACGTATTAGGTATATAAATTATATATATATACCTAATGTTATTAATTATTATTTATAGGTCCATTTAAATGTTACATAAATTTAAAACCAAAATATCACTTTATTTAACCAAGATTCCTAATAATTTCAGTTTAATGTCTATGATCATTGGTTTTTTTTTTTTGCAAGGAAAAATTAATAATTTGTTTAAAATAATTACTTCTTTTGATTTAGTGATGATTAATAGCATAGTATACAATTTGAATAATTKGATATACTAAATATTTAAGTTTTATACGTTTTTGTTTTTATAATAATGGAATATTATAATACTCAAATTGTTTTTTCTTATTTATTCATGATCATGATACAAATGATATTTTTTGGAAGAACTGTAGAATTTATATCAAGCTATACAATCAAGTTGTTTTAAATTAAATTATCTCATAGTTATTATTGTTTATCATAAATTAGTTATTTAATTCGGTATGTTTTTTTTTACATTGGAAACAAAAATTAGTAGTACCTACCCTAGATTGATATGTAATAATTAACGATAAAGTAGCAATGGTATTAGTATTATAGAAACTCAACGATCATACAATCCATTCCTATAACTCTTACTTATGAATCAAAATAAGCAAAAATATTAATTAAATAAGTGCCTTTAAAACCTAGATAAGCAAGTACAATGGAGGATTACATGAATTTAAACCTACGTAGATAGCAATACATATTATACATTTTTCATTTTCCGAGAGAACTATAAGTATCAAATTATTTGCAATTTTCATACATTTATACGCAATTTATGGTTATACAATTGATTAGGTAGTAAATATATTTTATTGATATTTAGATATTTATTATTAAATTAAATTAATTAAATTAACTGAATTTCTGTTAGTTCTGATAAACAAAAAATCGTTAAGTATTCTAGTTAGAAATTTATCTTATATAAGAAAATGTATAGATTATATTAYACCTCCCTATAATTAACCCAAGACGTAGCTCACACTGTGATGCCTAAAACAGATTATTCAATAATTTGGTCAAAATGTTTGGGTAACTGTTATTATATATTTTTCATCTTGAAGTTCTTCCGGTTCCTTTTGAACTGTMATGTCTGTAAAGTATATAGAATTCACATCGATCCATATGATAAAATAATATTTTTATTTTGTTAATTAAAAAAATTAAGCAAATATTATGTTTTTAACATTTATATTATATATATTATGTAAATTTTCTGTAATTAAATTAATATCGGAAACAATTATTTTCCGTTAAATCAATGGTTATGTTATGCATAGCATTATGAATTATGATGCGACCTGAATTACAGTAACAATAATTAATTTCAAAAAATTGAATTATCATCATATATCTAAATTGATAAATTACCATTATGTTAAAACGATAAACCTGTTGCATTGAAGTAATATGGAACCTCGGTATTATGGTCAATGGATTTCAACGTATTTTAAATGGATGCTTAAGTATAATGGCATACTTGCATATAGTGGCATACCACATGATAACTAAATAGTTATGACAGATTTTATAGAACCATACAATTTTTATACGAATTATATTGGACAARCAAAAAATATATTAACCGTTTTATATATTTTAGCTAATAATTAGTAAATTTTGTTTTTCTAATATAAAATATAAATAAGTACCTTAATGGAATTTTTAAGGGCCCCCGACATTTTCTTTCATTTAATGACCAAGAAATGAAGATCTACTACACGCAGTAATGGAGAGAATGAATTTAAAGAGTAAAATAAGAGAGTTGGTTGTAGACTTATTATTTAGTTTAGTGTATAAGTTAAAGACAAATCACTAATCAGTTAAGTACGTTTACCTGCGAACAGTACACCAAATTATTGTTAGATTTCAATTAATCATATTGAAGAATTTTAAACTTGGGTAAAAATGTATGGYTTCCACAMATTTATCATYAGCTGTATACTATAATAGTTAATAAATAATAATACAATAAAATAACTAAATAAATACAAAGTGTATAAGTACAGGTTATGTTAAGTTAATGTTAGCTATGTTATCTCGAATTTGTGTTTATAATTATCAATATTATAATGTTGGTAATGCAGTTGGTATTATCAAAATGATTGATTTTAAAATGTAAATTGTGAATATTTTATTGGAGTGATTAATTTTTTTTGTTTCGAATTATTTAATTCATATAATACTATAAGTAATCGATTTTTAATTCCTATATTAAGAAAGTAATAAAATKATATAAGTTACATATAGGTGTGTATTTTCAATTTGTATAATATCGATAGTATTATACGTCTTCTGTCCTCGTATTATAATGTAAACACAATCTTAACCTTAATACTATGTTGACAATTTTCTGTTCATTATTAACTGTTAGTTGTTACTATACATAAATTATTTCCTATTGAAACTATAAAATAGGTATACARTTTATTTTGATACCGAATGGTTTATTAATATTTGTGCATAATATGCATAGGTACTAAGTGTTCACAGCCATGTTATCAGTGATTAGGTGCCTAATGATTATAGATTAACCGAGAACACATTTAAATAATAACATCCATATGTTGAGATTGGAAGTATAATTATTATGAAAAAGAACTTTGATCAATGACAATTTAAATTTGAGACATACTAAAATATACTTACAGTAGTATTTATGAAAACATTTTAACTGATTATCGGATTGGCCATGTCTAAATRTWTTAAAAATACATTTGCTTTATAAAAATAATAATAAATTAATTTGATTTCATAATATAAATTATTGTTTAGTATTACACAGAAATAGTTAGACTTATTAAGCAAACAAGTAACGGATTATAATATTTCGTATTAAACTACCTACGTATAACATTACAATGCATAGTGCATACTATGCAGTGATTTCTTAGTGATGTTATTATAAACGATATGAAAATGACCTTGATAAACTATAATACCTAAACATAATATACTTAAGGCCAAACTTCCAAGTAGATAGGTTAGGATTTTAATATTTGTTTGACCGCCATGAAATATTTTACCTATAGAATAAATAAAAATTTCATAGCCATTTTTTAATCATATGCAATAAATAAAAACTTCAAACKCTTAAATAATAGGTCTTATCGTATAACGTATTACCTAGTGAATTATCAATTGCTTTTAGTATATGTTTGAAATACATATTATAGTAATTGTTCAATAGGTAGTAAAAATACATTTAAAATAATATTTGTATAATAATCATTTCCCATGACATTTATTACACATATAATATATCATATATGTATAATGTATATATACAAAATTATATTAAATGTATTACATGGGACATAGGTACCTATTTATAACTTCATATGTTACAACTATATCATAATATAATAAGCGTTTTAGAAGGACTTTTTAACAACCTTACAAAATGTGTTTGTTTCTCTGTGGACCTTTTAATTTACAAAACAATAAACACAGATAAGAAAGGATTAAATTCATAATTATTTATATTATAATTTGTATARCTAAAAAAAATGTTGATACACGGTTATTTGTATAAAAGTATACTTAAAGACTACAATGTACATTCATAATTCGTAATAATATTACTGGTATCTGATCAGTTACGACGACATATTATTTTCAGAAGATCCAACATTTGTTTTTTTGTCGATCACTCTATGTTTAGCTGAACACTTTTTGAAATATGGTTGATGGTCGATAATTTTTTGACACCAAGTTTCTGTAACAGTTTTAAACAGTTATTGTAGTTTTAAATTCTAAACAAAACCAGCATAATGATTTTTGTATTAATATTTTTGTGGAAATCAAAATAACATTTTTTGAAGGTTTTATTACTTCTGTGTATCAATTTGAAATTTCATCTATAGTTATTACTTCAAAACTAAAAAAAGTAATTTGTTAAATTCCTTAGTATATGTTATGTCACTGGGTATTAGGATAAAATTGCAAAAAATATATTGAAGTAATAACCATTTTAAATTATATTTTTTAAATATTTTTAATTGAAAACCACTTATTACCATGAAGCTCAAGCAATGACGGTGATTCGCCTCCATAATCTTTAGGCATATATTTTAATGGTACGTCCTCTAACAAAGTTTCAAAATTACGATGTACAATCATCTAAAATACAAAGTAATTATTCAAAAATCTAATTTGTCGTAAATGCATTTAAATAACTTACTCTCTTTCGCATTTTCGCCTTAAGGAGAGGTTTGAACATCGCCATTACTACACTTAATATGGCTGGTGGATTTATTATGTGAATTTGAGCCACRCGTTCTGGATAAGCTTTCTGCAATCAAACAGATTTAATAAACTAATTCGGGACAAACAAATGTAAATGTAAGCATAAAAACAAATTTACGTGTCATAAACCAATTTTTTTTTTTATAAACCTTGAATATTATTTAATATTTTTAAATAAATTTAAAAAAAAATCGAATTKTTGCRAACCCGGCATACGCTCACGCTTACATTAATTCATATCTATATTATGGCTTACCCAGGCGTATAAGAAAAAACGGCGTAATAACCCTAATGGGTATCTGGCCAAATGACCTAACCGCACCGCTCTCATGTCGATAATGACCACTAATTTTACATGATCCATTCCTTGAGCAAGATAAAGGTCGGCCAAACATGTCAAATGCGTGGCTATACCCAATGGGTTGTAATCTGATGCTGGCGTATCTGGGCGATGCATGAACAATCCTAGTCTTCGACCACCGTCCATTACCGTGGGCACCAAACCCAATAGTCTAAACAAAAAAAAAAAAACTCAAAATATATTCACTTCCACTTTGCCAATATTCATTGGAACAAGCACTTGTCTAATGTTAGGTAACTCTCGTATCCTAAGCATTTACATTTCGTTCGTTTACCTACTATATATATATATATATATAAGACATTGTTCGTTCCAACGAAAACTTAAAAACGAACGGTACCGTCGAAAACAAACTTACGTCGTTTCATATGCTTTTATCATATCCATATTCGTTTTTGGATCTCGGTTGCTAAATATTTCAGGCAAGATTGTTTTTAGTTGAAAGTATACTGGCAAGTTGTCTTTGACTCTTTCCACTTCATTCTTATTCATAACCAGGTAGTTCTCCAACCACCAATCCAATTCCACTTTAATAAAATGTAGTTCATAAAATTTATTAATTATTATTTGTTTTACTATAGAAAATGTGTTATTTTATTTATAATGTTTTTTTTTTTTGCGAATTTCTTCATAATTGTGTAATTGTTGCTATTTATTTTGTTTCAGGTAAGTTACATTCATGTGAAATCTTATTTTCTAACGCATTGACTATCATAAAACCGTAAGTTTGTTGATTGTGTATTGCATAACATATATAAATATATAGTAAGTAGCTATATTAATAATAAACAGTATAAATATAATAACCATCGCGTGGATGTGCAGCGTTTTAACTGCTTGTTAAGATTATTATAGATCATCAAAAACTATAGTAGATGAAATAAGTTTTAAAATGACAGTACATTAGATTAATAGTAGACTTGTAGACCCGAATGGTCTATAAACGCAATTAAATCTGACATAACATTTACCAGTGATGTAAACATAATAACTTTACTCAACCCCTCCCAACCGAGTTATTTATTATTGGAGGTCGTGTTAATATCTCACCTCCATCCAGCGTGTTTGGCAGGTTAGGTTGGTCGCGAAGCCACTGAGTGAGCTCGGAGACATCTCGGCGTATCGACTCATCGGTCATGCCCAACAGGCGTCTGGCGGTAGCAATGTCATCTGGTAGTGGGCCCTTTGGCCGTCCGTAAACGTAATCTAATGTCCTGTGTATAATATTATAACATTATGAAATATGAACGGTTATAATTGAGAGAAAAATATGATTCTATACGTGTTGTAATTATTATTTAATTGGTTCTCGGTCCGTCTACGTCCAACTGTGGCTGGTGAACGAGTTAATTCGATTTTGCCTATGTTATAAAGTACCTATAGGCATTTTAAATTGCGTCTACATTTTTATTATATTTATTTTGAACGTTTAAATCGATTTCAGAATTAAAAATGACGTTTTTATTCGTCCTTAATGTTTATCTATGGACATTGTGTCTTGTGATTTGTGTTATTCTCCAAACTAGTTTTTATATGCATTCAATATACATTATATCAACACACATTAGATAACAGCTTCCTTATGACTAATATTATACACCCTCTCATTTATGAATAAATCTACTTATCACTAAGTGCAAAACCTTTTTGGAACACATGCAATATACATTATATATATATATAAGATATTTATACACATATAATWTATATCATGCATGATACCGACCGGTTGCAAAGACCACTTTCTCTCCGGGGCACATCGGTTCGATTACGAAACACGGCACGTTTTGTCGGTCAAATAAACGCACGTTCTCTCCCTCAAAAAAAAATATATTTACCGCAGCACTGCTATATAATGCAACATTTTACAATATGTACCTATATTATTATCATAATTTTGTTTTAAATGTTATCATTAAAATTAAGTAAAATGTATTAGTGAAGGTGGGTATTAACGTAWAACTGACGAACATATAAYAACATATAACTCGATACTAATAATAAGGTGATCATTTTGTATGTTATAATTAAATATAGTTTTAGAGAAGACTGTAAAACGTTAATTAGATGATTACCAAAAAGTTAAATATATATATTGTTGTATAGGTGCGTACACCATAGGCTCCACTAAGATCAAGTTGTTGTAGAGAAAAGGGGGCAATAACGGAAGTTGTAGCCCTCATATTTTCTCCTTATTTATCTGTAGGACATTTTCTCTATAGMTACCTAACTAACTAAGTTTGTTTATTTTCAAATGGATTTTATTAAAAATAAATTTATATCAATATTTACACACATAATATTTATCCAGTAATATTTACCAAACAAACACATTTTTTTAGGGGGGGGGGAAGGGAGTTTGCGGCCTCTAGGACCATCCCATTATAGATCCAGCTTTCCACCCCTCTCTTGGTCTGCTACATAAACGTATATTTTTTCATTTAGCAATATTCAAATTCTGATTATTAGGATTTTTAAATATATATTTACTTTTTAGTAAGGACCATATATTCGATTCATTTAATTTATAAGTAAATATCTACTTAATAATTTACAGTATAGAAGTTGTTTATTATTTGAAAAAAAGAAAATGATATCGCCACAACCCACAAGAGTACATGACACTCCATAAATGGAACAACAAATTTAAGCATTTTTAAAATTTGAGAAACAATCTTATAGCATACTCATTCTTAGCCAATTTAATATGTCTCGTTGTTGAAATCATTTTTTGTTTTGTAACTTATCATTAAATATATATTTGGGGTAGACGATCACCCAAACCTCCACCTAATTGGAGTTATACATGGTGCATATGGATTGCAACCACCTAAAAAAATTTTCTATCAATTTCCAGTAGATTAAGCACCATTGAAAAAATCATGTACACAAATAATATATGTCGAGCTTTTGGGTTTAGTAACATTATATGATTTAAAAATTTTAAAAATACTTCTAACGAAACCATTTCTTGTGTTATCTTACGACGTTATCGGTGCTTAGATATACTGACGTCATACCCGACCGTCCCGTTCACTAAATACTTTCCAATAAAGTGATTTCTATTTGATAAAATAGAAGAAAATGTGCACACATTATTAGAGCACGTATACGTGACATCTGCATGCTACGATATACGTAAACAATAACATCGAATTCAAAATAATCAAATGTATAATATAGTATAAGGCACATTATATAGATATAAAAAAAAATATTGTTATCATCATAACAGACATATTAAACAAAAATAAATTATCATCTACACCTACTTATCATATATTATATTACTACAAAAACAAGTTATGTGTGAGTGTGTGTGTATGTATTTGTGTGTATGTGTGGGTTTGTTTGTTTAATTGATTCACTCACCTGGTCATCTCGATGTACTCGGCTCGTGCTATGTTCGCGAACTGAGTGTATTCGTACAGTTTTTTTCACATAATTTACTAGCCAAGGCGTTTACGGTTTCAAAAAACTGGATATTACTAAACAACTACTATTTATAAAACGTGACCATCATGTGAGGGGGGTCTCATGGAATAGAGGGGAGTAGTGCTGGAGATGGTTGCGGCAGTCTGATTTCTATGCGAATGTATCTCTATGCGTGTAATACGCCACATTAATATGTCACGAATACACGGTTAAATTACCTCGAGACCGGTTTTACATGGTTTGCGTAGGATAAAAAGGTCAGGGACCTTACATGCAATCTACCGACATTGTCAAAAGCTCAGAAGTTACAAAAAAAGTTTGATGATATAAGTACTTAGATGCTAATTATAGTTATTACTATAATAATTGTAGCATAAATCACGCTATAAAAGATTAATTTTCGTGGTGAGTGAGTTAGAAAATAAATGCATATAGCTACCTCAAAAAGGTGATAGTCAATTATTACTATTATAATAATTATGAAAATCCTTGAACGCAAGAATACGTTAACTCATTCGAAAATCCTTATTATTTATTTTTGCCAAAAAAAAAAATATACATTATACCTATCTCGTTTAAAATTTTCTCTTCTAATGCTATACATATTTCAAGCTTCTTGCAAATTTAATTATAACTTTGGAAGTACATTAATTAAAATTATAACGTTCTTAATGTTTTCATAACTATGTGTCTATAACACAAGCTGCAGTACAAATATAAGTTTATTTATTTTGTATGGAATGTAAAAATGTATGTATAAATGTTCAATAAAAATGCAAAAAGATTGAAGAAAATTTATAAAAAAAATTTTATTATTCGTTAGTGACATTGGTTATATCTTATTAATTTGTTTACGTCTTTATAAATAAGGCTGCCGAAAACAAAACGTTATGTATTTTAGATTTTTTACTAGACAGTTATGTTTATTTAGTGGTATATGCGTTGATAGTAAACTAAACGTGGTTTTKATTAAAAATAATAGTTTAGTACTTACATTGAACGTATTGTCGTCAACTTACACAATTGAAAACTGGTTTGGTTCGACGTGTTGAACGAATAAGCAGCGGTTGTTTATCATTTGTTTTTGTCTCAGTAAGAACAGACACGAATTAATAAATGTAAAGCTTCGGTGTCCTCTTTACAATTGGACACAATCGAATGAACATTGTAATCGCATGAAATGCCCAGTGGTTCATAAAAAGTAGTGCACGAGAATATATAATGCATTTTTCCACTATGTTTGTCCCCCTTCAATAAAATGAAACACATCAAACTGTTTTATTTTTAGCCTAAGTGAGATAAAAACAAGCAACACGTATACTAACTAAATTTTATAACCAAACGCTCAACAATTTTTTTTAAGAAACCTAATTAAATGTTTATTATATAAACGAACAAATACCATCTTAAAACAGATAATGATTTATTTGAGTGAAATATACACCATGGTGTCAGTCGAGACCTGAGAACGTTACACAATCAAATTGCGAATGCCATTCAGTGATAATATTATAGGAAAGTAGTTTAAAAACAAATGAAGTACATATTACCTGTCGACATAATTTTAAAATTCATTAGGACATTTGAGAATCGATTTTCACAACTATTAAAAGTTTTATTAATTTTTAAATATAGATTATACACATATATATATAAACACATAAATGTAACAAATTGTAATATAATATACATAATATCTTAAATATTAGCAATTCAAATCCAAATGTCCTTCCTTGTTAATTAACTTAACAACTAAATCGTATTGAATTAAAATACAAATTATGCTAAGTATTTTACCTACTTATAATATCGTACACTGTATTATTTAAACATACATATTTTATATAAAAAAATATATATTTTTGAACCCTTGATCTTACATTTAGTACAGTTGCATAATATTTACATGAAATTAATTTTGTAATGGAGTAAGTAAAATATTCTTCGCAGAAATCGATCGACCTTAGAAAAAGTTATTTAACTATACATCTTTATTCTATTATTAATTAATATTAAAAAAGGAAAAATTTCAATAACCTAAACACCAMATTTTTTTACTCATTATAAGTTTATCATATAACTGTTAGAATCAAATATGGAAATGTTGATAAAAAATAATATGTGATTTTAATTATTCTTATATAAAATTAGAATAATTACCTATAAAGAATATTTCTATGATAAATTTAATTTTATTCTTGTGTGTTACATTTATGATAATCATCATCTTTGTGTTGGTTAACTTTGAAAATACTTTTTGAGTTGAAATAAAGTTAAGTAGATTTACTCAATAAGCACTTCTATTCAATAGCAAACCGAAATTCTTTAGTTCTTTACTSAGATTATTTTTCAGTTTTACGTGGTTTTTGACAAAAATATTTGTCGACATTAAATATTATTATTATGTTTTTAAATATTTAATATTATTATATAGATACCTAAGTTTATACAAGTTTAATATTTATAAAGAGTATATTGACTTTAAAGTTTAAATGGATTACAAGTTAAAAACAACTAATACATAATACCCTTTAATATATCTTTTTTACTGATATTATTATTTAAAAAATTGTATCTAGGCACCTAGTGTATTACAATAGCTCAAAATTCAAATTGAATATTCAAWTTTTTCAAATGGCAGTAATTTATAATATCAGGTGTCAGATACCTATACCTATACATAAACTGTACGCGTGTTTTTCTAATTTAATAAGTCACTGAACTCTGGTTGAATAAACAATATTTTGTTAAGGTCAAAACTTAAAATAGACTTAAGTATGTATATTATTATGTGTGAGTATAATGTTGTTACGGAAAATACGCTATGTGATTTTTCATTCGTTTTAGCTTTTGTTTGTATTACCATTAACCGTAACACTACTTTTTTGAAAAAAGAAGCATTTTCTTACTTATTTTTTAGATAATTGATCGTCTACATACATAGTAATGTTTACTTTAAACCACGCCAGTAATATTTTGCAAGAATTTGCAAGAATTTACAACTCCATTTTTAGAATTCACAAGTAATAATTTTTAGGTGGAGGATCACCTTTCAGTTTTCTTAAACGGTCGAAATCCTAACCAAATGAGAGATTTTAATTTCAATGAATTTTTAAGAGAGCTTTTAGACTTTTCTCACTCACTCAGAAGGTAGTAGTGGACTATTTAAGTTGCGAACTTACTAATCAATGTTTTCAGAAATATAGCTGATAATTCTGTTTCAAAATATGGAATTGACATTTTAGATTACCAAAATAGGATTGGGCATCAAACAATTTATTAAAAACGCAAGAAAGGTAACGTTGAAAGATTGGCAGAAACGCTAGCAKCAGTTATCTAAAAGCGATCGAACTAGAAGACTAATTCTAAATCTTAGGAGATGGATTGAGAGCAACTACGACCTTCCTTCTCACATCCACATCACACAGGTGCTAACTAGTTTTCCAGAGAAGTTACATGTACAAAATAAAGAGTATGATGCTCACGATGCTTCTACTAGTTCTTCTGTCTAAACCCATGYGAATCAACTGAGTTAACATACTCTTTGAATTTGAGTGGTGGGGAAAAACACGTGGGTACTCGGTTCCAAATTTTTGAGCAGAAGAAAATCTAGGTCACATRATGTTACTGATTTTCCACGTGGTTCTGAATACCTGTCGATATCGGTAGATAATTTTGTTGTAGACTAGAAGAAGCATCGAATAGAGCATAAAGTGCATTCATATAGATGGTAGAAGACATCCAGAAAATATAAAACAGAGGATGAACGAGCATCAACTATCTGCGTAACAAAAACGCACCCAAGAAGATGCGAAGACCTAATCGAGTCATAGATCGTATTATGTACACATTTTAACTGTAGCACTCGAACGGCTCTCTAAAAAAAAAAAATGCTATACGCATTTTGCAAACAACTTGGCGAACCTTAGCTAAGAGAGACCAATTTTATTATCAGACCGGATAGAATCAATGAGAAAGCAATTCCACGATTACTCAGTCTTGCAGTTGAGCCAGAAAAAAGGTATTAAACCTAAAAATTTAGCCATGTGGAATTTTTTAAAAATTGTTTTATYGAGAATATAGAGAAGCATTAAAATGTAAACAGTTTAGGGTAGACTGATTGTCTTTCTGTATGCATTTACCAACATTCAAAATGTACATTCGAATAGTTAAGCTTAGTCACATCAGTCATCACTCATGTCAAACCAGTTTATATTGATTATTCACATATATATATATATACGAAGTTTCAGTGTCATTTTTAATTATTTGATATTTCATACAATTTAATTTTAAAACAATGTTATCGATTGTACGATCAGATTGTGTACAAAATTTACTGTTACGTGTTATTGAATTTATTACCTGCGTCGCGGCATAATTATAAATATCGTCATCGCGATGTTATTCATTGAGTTGATATTGTTTTGATTCTCTAATAGTATAATATTATATTTCTTGTTGATACCTACTGCAAGCTATAAGTAAGTTATATACCTACTGCATGTATCTAATTAGACACATTCGTAAAAAAAAGTTATTATTACATTAATTTATTCGCCTTATAGTTATTATTATAGTATAGTAGGTACATAATAAATAACACCAGACACATTTTCGTCGACATAGAATATTGATATTAAAAAAAAAATAAAACCCTAAAATCGCAGTCTCGACAATTTATATGTAATATCTGCATCATAACACAATTATTGGATTTCGTGAGTAGAAAAGTGTGCGGCCCATTGACCTGTGTAAGCGGCGTCTTGAATTCGAATTAAAGTCGGTGTAAGTCTGCAGGATTACACTCATTACTTTATCATGTGGACGCGAACCACCAGCAATGGTTAGGTCGTATTATACAATATCGGTGGTGACGGAGACTCATTCGACATGTTATAGACGCGCCTTGATTTTACAGCCCACGGCAACGTAAATACTCGTGTGAAACGTTGTCGAAAACATCGATTGTCCCGGGGGTCATTTAACCAACAGTTGGAAGGCTGTGAAATATCCGAACGGCGCGAATCTTCCGAGTGAAAGGTGGAATCTCAAAAGTTGTCGGCCATAATTAGCCGCAGCCAAATAGAAAGCTACCGCCACTGTGTTTTCAACCGTCCCATACGGTTTTTTTTCCACGCATCCGGTAAAACAGCATTATTACTATTCACTCGGACGTCCGTTCTCAAAGTCGCGTCAAACGTGTAGAAGAAATTCGGTGGAAAACGGTGGCGCGCAGACTTATAGACAAGAGACGAATGATTTGTTATATACAAGATGGTGGTGACAAGAGATATATGTGTGAGAGGCCCAACTAAATATCCATTGTTCTTGAGCTGTCCATAATAATATAATATAATTTTATACGTATTTGATGGATATTAATTTATCCTCTTTTTTTCCAATTACATACCTATTTTATTTTTAGCACTGAGTCCGATTTATACAATCATTCGTGGATTGCCAAAATCATATTACTTCAAACATGAATGGCATTTGAAGAAAAAAAGGAAAACGTTCAACCTATTTTGTACAGTTTTGACTTTTGACGAAATTTGATGTCCAAACGAAAAATAACGATTTTTCTTCCAACGAGTTTAGTAACTTAAAACATAATACCCAATCATATAAGGATTTAAAGATTTTTGCAATTATGACATTAAATATACACATAATAATTAGAAAAAGACTGTATACCTTGCAATTTTAAAAATTTGGTTAAGCTCTAGTGTACATTAGGTCATTATTAGGTGTCTAGAGAAGTCACTGTAACGTATGTGTTAAATTTGAATTCAATGATATATAATTATTGTATACGAAAAATGATCTTACGCAAAGTCTGTAATATCTTGTCAGTCTGTAATATTCCAAAGTGTATTTTATGATATATTATTGTGATTAAAGTAATTTATTTTACTATTAGATATTAGTACTGCAGACTGCAGTAGGTTAAATTTTTGCATATGTATTTTCAATATATATTCAAACGGGTATTGCAACAATGTGTGAAGACGCTTGAAAAAAATTTGATTTGAATTTTCAATAAATATTTTTAATTTTTTAACTCAATTTAAATTTTAAATTTTACGCTATATAGAATATGCTTAAATATACATTCAGCGAAAATTGCATGTTGCTACATTCTATGATCATTTTTTAAG